TTGTTTAAACGACCAAGAAGATGTTGGCCTGTTAACTCAATCACCATAACAAATCGTATCTATCATAACAACCTTATCATGATCTCCTAGAATTGTGCAATCTCTCTCTTAGTTGTTATACCAAAATTATCTACTCACTTGTATAAATATATATCTCCTGTATATTGGAAATTAAGTTTGAAATCACATTCACAAAACGTATTCTGTTTCTATATATTTCTACATGGTATCACAGAGCCACTAGCTTCACAGCGCCTATCATATTTTTTTTTTCAAATGGCTACCACACCAGCTTCCATGAAACCCCTTATTGAACTCACTATAGCAACCAGTCTTCCAATCAAACTCAACTCCACAAACCATCATACTTGGTACAATCAAATCACGCATCTTCTTAAGGCCAATGATCTCTTTGGCTACGTTACTGGTGAAACCGCTTGTCCCCCTCCCAAAACTGGTTCAGAGGGAAATGTTACAACCAATCCAGAATATACTCATTGGCAATGACAAGACCACTTTGTTTTCCTTGCCCTTCTTGGTTCCTGCAGTCCCGATGCTCAAATTGTTATGACCTCTGCAGAATCTTCTGCTGCTGCATGGGACTGACTCAACAAGCAATATGCTAATTGATCTAGCACTCGTATAATGTCCTTGAAGGAACGACTTGCCTCAATATCTAAAGGCACCTCTGGTGTTGCTGACTACCTCCGCTCTATAAGGGTCATTGCCGATGAGCTTGCTCTGATTGGGCATCCCGTTGATGACCTTGATTTGGTGATCACCGCTCTCAATGGTCTTGGCCCTACCTTTCGCGAGTTTACTGGCTCAATTCGTGCACATGACTCTCTATTACTATTTGATGAACTATTTGATAAACTCATTGATTTTGATATCTTCCTCCAACGTGAGGAACGCCACTAGCAATCTCTTCCAGCCACTGCCCATTACACTCAACGTTACAATGCTTCCTCCTTTCATGGAAAAAGGTCCCAAAACTATCGCAACTCATCATCAGTTCGTAACTCCACTACTTTGCCTTCTGCTGCCTCATCTAATTTTTCCAGTAACTCATCTCAGCGAGAGTATCATCATCCTCTCTTTCGGTTCCCACATGCCAATATTGTGATCGAAGAGGCCATATTGCCAAAACTTGCTACTAGCTTCATGGATATCCTTCCAACCATCCACGCCATCAAGCTAACTTAGCTCAACAAGAATCACAGTCCGATCCCAGCTGGTTACTTGACTCGGGTGCTTCACATCATGTCACCAAGGACATTGCAAATCTGTCCCTAGCCGACACGTATCAAGGCCATGATCAACTCTTTGTTGCCAATGGTAAAGGTCTCTCCATTAAGAACTTTGGTTCCACCATTATTCCCACCTCATCTACCCCTCTCCATTTATCAAATGTTTTACATGTCCCCTCAATTACTCAAAATTTGATTTCTGTTTCTTAATTGTGCAAAACTAATCTTGTTTCTATTGAATTTTTTCCCTATCATTTCGAGGTAAGAGCCTGAGCACGGGGGCGATTCTTTGACGAGGCAAGAACGATGATCACGTGTACAAGTTACCTTCCAACTCAGCCCCCCCAACTTCATCATGTTCACTGTCATTCCTCTCTTTTGTGGCACTACTGGTTAGGCCATCCAGCCAGTCCTATCCTTAACCATGCATTACGAAGTAGTCAAATCCCAGTCCAAGCTTCTGCCACTCGTTGCCTGGATTGTCCTGCCAACAAAAGTCATAAGATACCATTTAATAAATCAACTTTGTCAAGTAGTTGTCCTCTTCAAGTTGTCTTTTCTGATGTATGGGGTCCAACCTCTGTCACTTCAATAAATGGTCATTCCTATTATGTCATCTTTATTGACTTATTCTCCAAATATGTATGGTTATATCCAATTAAATTTAAATCATATGTCTCCACTATTTTTCCTATTTTTAAGTCTCTTGTTGAAAATCAACTAAACACCAAAATCAAAACACTTTATACTGATAATGGGGGAGAAGATATTAAGTTGCGCTCCTTCCTTCAACATCATGGCATCACTCACCTAACCACTCCTCCCCATACCCCTGAGCATAACGGCCTATCTGAACGCAAACACCGTCACCTCCTCGAAACAGCTCGATGTTTGTTGCACCATGCCTCTCTTCCCCTTCACTTATGGTCATATGCACTTCAAACAGCCGCTTACCTAATCAATCGCATGCCCACTCGTCGTTTACATATGAAATCACCTCTCCAAGTTCTATTTGGTTGTGTTCCTAATTATATTAAGCTACGAATTTTTGGCTGCCTATGTTTTGCGTGGCTTACTCCATACACACCTAACAAACTTGTTCCCAAATCAAAACTGTGTGTGTTCTTAGGTTACAGTCCAACTCAAAGTGCATACTACTGTCTTGATCCTCAACCCTCCAAAATCTTCACCTCTCGTCATGTTCAATTTGTTGAGGATATCTTTCCTTATTCCTCTCCACTAACTTCAAGTGCACCCCACGACTCAACTTCAAATTTAAATCTCCTACAAAGTCCCCAACAACCAGCACCTCTTATTCCTTCTCAACCGTTAGCCATAACACATCCAATCCAACAACCCCCATCATCTCCTAATATATTATCCTCTTCATTCAACCAAGCACCTGTCCTTGACCCCTCTCCATCCTCCAACCTTTCCCCATCATCCTCACCCATCTCACCATATGTTCCATCTCCACACCCATCTTCAACCCCTGCCACCTCTATCAATGAATACACGTTATCATCTCCTCTTGCAAGTGTAGATCCTCCTCCCCCGTGCTCATCGGCTCCAAAGTCAACTCACCCTATGACTACTCGATCTAAAAATGGCATCTTTAAGCCAAAACAAGTTCATACAGTCACCAAATTTCCACTGCCTAGTCATGTTGAACCCACATGCTTCTCTCAGGCTATAAAGCACCCCGAATGGAAAGTTGCCATGTCATAAGAGTTTAATGCTCTTATTGCCAATTGTACTTGGACCCTTGTTCCTTATCAATCACACCATATCATTGGCAACAAATGGGTGTATCGACTCAAACGTAATATCGATGGTTCAATTGCTCGGTACAAAGCTCGCCTTGTAGTTAAAGGGTATCATCAACGCCCAGGTGTCGACTACAATGATACCTTCAGCCCAGTTATTAAGCCACAAACAATTAAGGTGGTCTTATGTCTTGCAATTTCTAAAGGGTGGTCCCTAAGTCATATGGACATCAATAATGCATTCCTCCACGGCACTATCGCTGAAGATATATACATGTCTCAACCATCAGGATTTGTGCACCCTCAATACCCAAATCATGTCTGTAAGCTGCACACGACATTATTTGGGCTCAAACAGGCCCCTAGGGCCTAGTATCATGCTCTCAAGGACTTTCTCTTGGAATATGGCTTCACAAACTCAAAATCTGATCCCTCTCTGTTCGTATACAGCCAAGAAAGTACCATTATTTATTTCCTAGTTTATGTTGATGATCTTTTACTTACAGGCAATGACACGATGTTCTTAACAAAGTTTCGGAAAGCTCTAGCAGCAAAGTTCTCTTTAAAAGACCTTGGTGCACCCACTCATTTTTTAGGCAATGAGATTGTACCGACACAGTACGGCTTGTTTATAACAAAACATCATTATATACGTGATCTCCTTCATAGTAAAAACATGCATGAGGCAAAACCAGTAACCACTCCTCAAGCTACTACCTGTGACCTTTCTACCACGGGTGATGCATCCACATGTGATATCACTATCTATCACAAATTAGTTGGATCTTTGCAATATCTTTCCTTAACGAGACCCGACATTGCCTTCTCCGTCAATAAGCTCTCCCAATATATGCAAGCACCAACTGACTTTCATATGCAAGCTGCAAAGCACATCTTACGCTACCTCAAAGGAACAATAGACTTTGGTCTTCATCTCCGCAAATCAAATTCTCTTCAGCTGCATGCATTTTGTGACTCAGATTGGGCGGGTGATTCTAGAGACATGAAATCCACTGGTGCCTACATTGTTTATCTCAGTTCAAATCCCATTTCGTGGTCTTGCAAGAAGCAAACTACAGTTGCAAAATCTTCGACAGAAGCAGAATATCACACCATTGCTTCCACTGTCACCGAAGTTCTTTGGCTTCAAGATTTGTTTAAAGAACTTCATGTACAACTTCCATGTCCTCCTATAGTGTACTCAGACAACATGTGCAACCTATCTATGTGCAAATCCAGTTTTTCATTCTCGGATGAAACATCTTGCAATAGACTACCATTTTGTTCGAGATCTCGTGGCTAACAAAGCGCTTCAAGTGTCTCATGTGCCCTCAAGCCACCAGTTAGCAGACTTACTTACCAAACCATTGGCTTCTAAACGCCATCACTTTCTGTTGGACAAGATTGGTGTTGTCTCCTCCACCACCATCTTGCGGGGGCGTGTTGGCATGTTAACTCAATCACCATAACAAATCCTATCTATCATAACAATCTTATCATGATCTCTTAGAATTGTGCAATCTCTCTCTTAGTTGTTATACCAAAATTATCTACTCACTTGTATAAATATATATCTCCTGTACATTGGAAATTAAGTTTGAAATCACATTCACAAAACGCATTCTATTTCTATATATTTCTACAGAAGACTTGTTTAAGTGAGCTTACGTAATCTTCTAGTGGTTGTTTTCACTTAACCAAGGGTGTATTTCACTTGAACCAAGTTTTGCATGACATCTTGAAATTGTGTTGTTGTCTTAAACAATCCAAAAACGTTACTTAAGCGAACCAACTTCATTACAATGACAATATATTTGTTCGTAAACGGTTTAAATTTTTTTAGTTATTATGTTAAAATTTGAAACACAAAAATATCTCAAAATTAAAACATTTAGGTTGTTAGTTGGAAAAATAAATAAATAAATAAACCCACACAATGATATATCGATGTTACTAAGTATCATTAATAAAAAATTCTATTTGATATATATATATTGAGAAATCAATAATTCATTTCATTTTCTGAACAAATTTCCCACGTCAACTCATCGTTACATTATTTTTTCCACAACTTTTTTTTTTATTATTCAAAATAACTAGTAATATATATGGATTCAAATTACTACACGGCAACTTCTATTTGTAGAATTCCATCACTGCTGGCGTAGCTGAGATTGTACTACTTGCAAAATGAAACTTGGAAAAACCAGAGCTCTTGCACAAGTTCTTAAATTCATTCTCAGTTCTTTTCTTTCCACCAGGTGCCAAAAGCATGAGATTGTCAACAACAAAAGTATGCTTAGATATATTGCTCGAATTCGGAACTTCAGGAATTATAATATCCAACACAATCACTTTCCCATGGGGCGGCAACGCTTTGTAACAATTTTTCAAAAACTTAACACAATCTTCATCCGACCAATTATGACACACTTGCTGAAATAATCAAAAAGACAAAGAATGAGAAAATGAAATTAGATATTTATTTATGGAATATTAAATTTTTATAAATTTGAATAAGCAAGTAGTACACACTAACCTTAAGTAAAATAGCATCACCATTCGGAACACTTTCAAACATATCTCCTTCAATATGCTCTATACCTTAATGCAAAATGAGTGTTTGCTTATTAATCATTTTGACAAAATTTATTCCACATTTCTTTCCTTGAAACCCAACCTACCTTTTAAAATATTTGTAGTTTGTTTGATTGGGAAAATAATATATTTTACCTGGATGAGATAGTGCATTTTGAATCATGTGAGGCAAATCAAAATTTATTCCTTTAATAGAAGGATATGCAGAGATAATCCGTTTTAAAGTCTCTCCTACTCCACCTCCTACATCAACCAATGTTGACACTCCCTCAAATCCTTTGTATGATTTGAGTATACGTTTAAGTGGTAGTGGGCTACAGTGAGCCATTGCTTTGTAAAAAATGGTATTTAGCTCTTCATTTCTCTCCATATATTTATATGACGGCATCCCGTAGACATTTTCGAAATGGGTATCGCAATTAGGGACCATAATTGCATCCTTCACATCCGTCCTATTAAGCCATATGATAAAAAAAGAAAGTTAAAAATCATGATTGTAGAAAAAAGTTTTAAGTACCAATAAATTCTTAATTACCATAGGTCATGAAATCCGCGATTTATTAAAGTTGTGAGAGGAGCCAGGGAGCTTCCATCATTATCAAAAGCAAAGTATTTGCCAACGGGTGAGAGGGAATAAACTCTTTCAGTCTTACCATCTTGATTGGTGCGAATGGAGCAATCTAGAAGAGAATAACTGGCTAGAAGTGGCAAGATGCGTTCAAGCCTATTAGCCAATTGAGGGTGTTGATTTGGAAGCAAAGAAGCAATTTGAGAGGCAGATAAAGATGCATGACATGAACTCTCTGCTTTTGCTATGATATCAAACAAATTGATATCAATAGCAGCATTTAGAACTGCAGGGAGGATCCGGCTAAAGCAAAGTAACGTAGCAGAGAGGTAAGCATCATCCACCTCTCCTGCTTCCTTGGGAAGTGTACTCTTGTTGGAATTGGAACTCATTTTTACTAGTGTTCAATACTTGTGTAGTTTCTTCAATTTTTATGATGTTTATATAGCCATAATTCCTTCAAGTAAACGCTCGTGCCTAGTGCCAATTTTATTATGATTTTTATATATGTATAATTCGTTCAACTAAACACTCATGGCAATTTTAATAATCATTACTTGAATGAAAGGCTGGTTGAGGTTGAAGTGTCATGCCATATATTTGCCTTAAAAATTCAACGGTTTCTGTTCCAAGTATCATTTATCGATGAGGGATGGATGATGTATGTTTCTCATTTGAATATTTGAGGGAAGGTTGATAAGTCTAATTTTAGAGAAATCCTACGGTATTTGTATATATTTCAAAGGTTTTGGAACTTTTTTTATTTTTATTTTTTTTAAAATATTTCATCATTTGATTTAGAATTATTTGATTTTTAGCATGTTTATATTTTTCATTTTAATATATATTTTCTTAAAATTCTTAATATATATACAAAATTTTTGAATTTAGTAAGAATAATTTTTTTATATTATGAGTCATGATAAATTAAAATCTTTTACACTTGTGTACAATATATTTGTCAGAGCAATCTCATGACTCAATTATTGGTACCTTAAATGTCATTCATGTCCAGATTTTCCTCACCTAAAAATAATCACAAAACGTATGATGAGAAAAAAAGACATCTATATGAAAAGTACAGTAGGAAATCAACATGAAACAATCTCAATTTAATATGATATGCAAACACAATATCTGTCATTCAAACATGCTCAACATCATCAACTCTAAATCAACCCTTTCCGATATCTCATCACAAATCATATATATACACTGTGTCATACATCAAGCACCTTATCACGCACACACCCATGCTGACGCATCACATGTCCATCATCGTGTCATGCACACAATTGTGTCACTGCATTCCACTACTAGTACCGTATCACGTACACGATTGTACCAACGCATCACACATCCAATATCATGTCACTCATATGACTGTGCCCCCAAACATCACATAACCAGCACTGTATCATGCACACACCCGTGCCGATGCATCCCACGTCCTGCACCGTGTCACACATATGACTGTGTCAAAGTATCACACCACATTCACAATTCAATCCACTATCTCATACATAAACCAATATTTTCGTAGACTGAGCCAAAAGATCCATCTCTCTAATCATAAGGGATGACAAGTGTAAAGATTTCCTACTCAAGGCATCAACCACTACATTGGCTTTACCTGGATGATAGCTAAGATCAAAGTCATAGTCCTTAAAAACAATTCTAACCATTTCCTTTGTCTCATATTTAACCCCTTCTGGTCAAAAAGATATTTAAGGCTCTTATGATCACTAAATGCCTCAAATTTAGAACCATACAAATAATGTCTCCCAATCTTAAGTGTAAACACTACATTTGCTAACTTAAGATCATGGGCAGGATAATTCCTCTCATGGATTTTCAATTTCCTAGAAGAATAAGCTACTACCTTTCCTTCTTACATTAATACTCCATCCATACCCATCTTAAAAGCATCACAATATACCACAAAAGATTTACTAAGATCAAGCAATACTAACATTGGTGCACTAGTAAATCTTTCCTTAAAAGTTTGGAACCTACTATCACATTTACTATCCCACACAAAGGCAACTCCTTTCCTAGTCAATCCAGTCAAAGGTAAGGCTATCTTAGAAAATCCCTCCATAAATATCCTATAATAATTAGCTAACCTAAGGAAACTCCTAATCTTAATATTCGACTTAGGTGTCTCCCACTTGAGTACAACTTCTACCTTAGATGGATCTATTGTTATACTTCCGCTAGAAATCTCATGACCTAGAAAACTCACCTCATCTAGCCAAAAATCACACTTAGACAACTTAGCATAAAGTTGTCTATCCCTAAGAGTTTGAAGTACTACCTTCAAGTGCTTCTCATGCTCCTCTCTAGCCTTGGAATAAACTAGTATGTCATTTATAAAGATAACTACCAATTTATCCAAGTACGGATGAAAAATTTGATTCATATAATCCTTAAAAATAGTTGGAGCATTAACCACAAGAAAAGGCATTACTAGATACTCTTTGTGCCCATATTGGATATCCTAAACGTTGTCTTGGATATATCCTCACCCTTCACCCTAATTTGGTAATACTCTGACCTAAGGTCAATGTTGCTAAACACACAAGAACCCACTAAGTGATCCATAAGGTTATATATCCTCATATCAACATACATGCATATCAAATCATGTCAGAACCTACGTTTAAGCATTCATATATATCATCGCTAAGCATTTATATAAATCAATAACCATTTACACCATATTGCATGTTTGTGAATCAACTTTACAAGACAACCTTGTACAAATTTAAAAAACTTTTAGATCTACATGATAACACCTTAGAACATCATAATAAAATCAGTTTCCATCAGTACATTGCATAACAACTAAAATCATCAAAATAGTATACATCTCCCTTCAATAACTGTTAAAGAAAATAACACATAGAGAGTTATACTTACCCAAATAAGCCCAAAACTAACTCAAAAGAAAGCTAAGAGGATAAGATAAAAATCTTCTGAAGACAATAAATTCTAAAAAGATCATCTACTTAGCTAAAAAGTTTCAAAACCGCAACTGATATATTCAGCGCTGACAACTCGACCTCTGTTCACTAAAACACCCATAGCTAGAGTTCTAGACCTCCGTTTTACATGATTCTAGTGTCATTAGAAAGATAACATCTCAGCCTACAACTTTCATGTAGATCATAAAAGCTAATTCCGTCAAAAAAGCACTCGTACTGGCACGAAAAAAACTATAGCGAAAGCATCCCCTACACCAGACGGAAAACGAGTGTACCAATGTCTTAGGCCATAAAAATACCTTAAAATACTTCCAAACTCACTCCTTTCCACCCAAAACTCTTATCCAATATCCCCACTACAATTCTAAACCAAAACAATTCATATATGCAACACGAAAGACTCAAAAGATGAAATGGAACTCACATGCAATGCAAACTGAAACTGCATACATATGACAACAAAACAACCATAAATTCTTGAAAAAAAACGAGTCCCCTTTCAATTCCTAACACAAATTAGACCTTCAATTCCATAAAAAAGTCATATTCAATATAGAAACTATCCTTTGGGCACTTCACAACATCCAAAATTAGCACCTGAATCTAAAATCTAGACTCTTTAAAATTTCGCTCCCCCTCAAAACAGTAAGGAATACAAGAATCCTATGCTCAAAATTAGTAGTCACTCATCAAATCAATATAACTATTTATTCAAATCATCATTTCAATCACATCATCAAATACCACACAAGCATAGTAGTCTCATAACTCATGGCCGAATGAATCGACCTGCTCTGATACTACTAAATGTGACACCCATTCTACCCCAGCACGTATAATATAATATGCAAACACAATATTCGTCATTCAAACATGCTCAACATCATCAACTCTAAATCAACCCTTTCCAATATCTCATCACAAATCATATATATACACCATGTCACACATCTAGCACCGTATCACACACACGCCCATGCTGATGCATCACACGTCTAACATCATGTCATGCACACGATTGTGCCAATGCATTCCACTTATCTTTCTTTTTTTAATTGAGATTGGGTTGGTGTGAAGTCAGTTGTACTAGATGCAGTTGCCCAAGCATCCAATGCACTAACTCTTGGACTTAGATGAGATGCCATGAGGGAGAAAACCGTTAGCAAGTAATCCTTCTGCCTTGCAAAAGCAAAGGCATTTTTACATTCTCCCATTTCCACGTGAAAGAAGATAACGTCTTCATCCTATTGTGATGTCATCTCTATGAAACCTATTATTCCTATCATGCATGCTATTGCTTTTATCTTCCAACCTCGGATTCAAAAGCAGCTCTTTCTCTCTTGTTTTTATCCTATCTATCATCTCGGAGCAAGAAGAATAGTATAAGAATAAGACATGGATAGTTCGGCAGTGGGATGAAAGAAGTGTTATAACGTTTGATGACTAAGCCAATAAGAAGGAAGGGATTTATCAAGCAAGATAACATTGCCAGAATGCCTCAAAAGACCTCTTATAGCGCTCTTGTGTTCCCTTCTAGCTAGCCGATTCTTTAGAAAGAAGTAAATTTCAGATTTTGTAACAAAAAAGAAAGACTAGGTAGGGTTATGATAACAAAACTGGTGTCGGCTACCATTGACTGCTTTGTCGACTCTGTTGACGGAGTACCGCTCACTGCATGACTAACGGAAGTCTTTATAGATTGTGTTTTCAGAGCCTTACAACTCTTCCTTTCCTCAAATCTTGAAATCAAGACGATGAGTGGGATATATAGGTGCGTGCATCATAGCAGGGGTTAGATGAAGTCGAAGGGTTTCAAATTGAACGTTGAGGCATTTCTAGGAAGACGGATTATCAAGGGTTACACCTAGGTAGAAAGGGGATTTGACAAATGCTTCTAAGGAAATTAGTCTGATTGTGCCAATGCATTCCACTACCAACACCGTATCACACACACAATCGTACCGACGCATCACACATCTAGTACCGTGTCACGCATACGATCGTGTCCAAACATCACATAACCCGCATTCTATCATGCACATGCCTGTGCCAACGCATCTCACGTCCTACACCGTGTCACGCATACAAATGTGCCAAAGCATTACACCACATTCACAATTTAATCCACTATCTCGTACACACACCAATATTTCCACCACAATATAAATTCAGACTCGCGTCCGACAAAATTACAATTTTCCCCAATATGCCCCAACCCGAGAGTTCCTACTCTTGTTGGCGCTCGAGGCCAATACATCCTGCCCAATGCGAAGGCTTGGCCGGGACCATCTTAAAGCACTACGCTTGGAAAAATTATAATTTCACCTAGTGTAAATGTCCTGTATTCATATTCATCCCATGAATGTGCACCTGGCGGGAGGAACTAAGCCCGACACCAACACATTTTCCAGAATTACGAGCCTACCCAAACAATAACACAAGGTGAT